AGTTCATCTGGGCATGGGACTGGGATGTCACCTGTGGCCACTGCGTTCCCATTGGACATCAGACACGTCCTGACGTACGCCGTGCTTGCGGCTCCAAGGAGGCAGCCATTCTCCAGCTGAGAAACAACACAACAGGGTCACACTGTAAGAAAAACACACTAATTTCTGAGAAAAAGGGCACAGTTTTAGAAAAAATGTATCTCTCCCCAAACAACCAATAACAAAACTAAAAAAACTGTCAAATGTCCAAAAAAATGAAGTAATTTCTAGAACTGGCAGGTGTCCAAGAAAAAACTGTCTCCAAGAAAAGAACTCCATAACGGAAAGATATCGATTCACTTTTCAAGGTTAAGTTGAAAAGAAATGTAAGTAAAAATGGACAATAGCAGATGTCTGTGTGAAAGTGCTGCAGTTTAGTGAATTACACAGCTAGCTACATATAGAAACCTCTGCTGGAAGGATGAGTCGTTCTGATGAAAACAAATTTGTTGTCTGCTTTACTCACATGAATGAAAAGAAGTGTTGGTGGTGTTCTACTCACTTTTCTTATGAGTTGTAGAAGGCTTTAACCTCATTCATTATTGTTCATGTTAATTATTTCTTTTCTTCAGTGGTCCAAACGTGCTGTAAAACCGTGTAATCTGTTCACAGCAGAGCTGTGCCTCTCTCTGGCTGCCTCGCCCTCCCTCCCCCCTCCTCACTGCATTCGCAGCATTAGGTAATGATGACAGTCAAATTGTAGGTCAGTGCCGCTCATGCTTGACTGGTCAGCCTGCCAGTATTTTTCTTTCAGCGACAGCCACTGACCCTGAAGAATAACAGCAGAGGCTGAATGGGGAGGGGATGAATGGATGCCTGCTGGGGTCGTCCATCTCTGGGGCATCCCGACCTTATTCTATTCATTATTGTACTCCTTCTCACTGCCGTCGCTTTGCTGCTCTGTGCTCCTGTTTCATCACATCTCTTTTGTCATGTCTCAGTTTGTTTTTTGTGCCAAACACCAGCAAAAAGCTACTATGACAACTACTGAGCAAATTTCAACAATGCAGTATGTCACAAAATCATTAGCACTGGAGCAACATGCTACGTGAGCCCTTTTTCTGTCACACAAGCTTCACGTTGGGCTTTTATTGCCAAGTTAACAATGCAGACTTGTTATAAACCTTCAAGCCTAAATCTGGCAGCGCCAACTGGCGAGGTCTCATTCCCTCATTATGTTTTACAATGGGAATTTCTCTAGACCTCCAACTTGTACTCCAATAGATCAGTGTTTTTAGGACCTTTCTCTGCTCTGCTTAGTTATTACTGGAAAAGGGTTTGGTTGGACTTTAAAGACAAGTTCCCGTTTCTCCTGAACATTTTTGGGTCTCATTAGGCAATTTAAATGATGTTATGGGGAGTTGAGTTTAGAATTGGCTGTTGTGAGTCGAACAGGATCCAAACATCAGAATGCCTGCACTGTTTTAAATACCAACGTCTCAAATAAAACACCTCAAAATAATGGATTTTATTCAGGCTTTTATAACTACTAGCTGGGTATCTAACTCGTGAACAGTAAAAACAGTCTTGAAACTCAGTTTAAGGCTTTTCTCTGCAACACGTGACAGTAAAGTGTCATGTTCCTACCTTCATTCGTGGAGTAGCATTCATTATTTAACACCATAGGTGAAAGTGGTGAACTCTTACTAAGCTCTTAACAACACACTTACATTTCAAGATTTAACTATGGAAAGATGTAAGACTCAAACTTTCATTAACCCTAACTCTCATGTAGCATCAGCTAAAATACCTGAGAGACCAGCGTGGCCACTCTGAGTGAATCTGGTGACAGCCAGTTCATATCATTAGTTGATAAAGTAGTTTAAAAATGGCCAGTTGCTCAGGCCTCAGACACACAGGCCTTGAGGCACGTTGGCAACCATCTGGCAACCACCAGTTGCACTGGAAAAATATATATCCCTCAACTTGTTGCGCGTGGTTGCTGGCAGTCCCTGTGAAATTGATTGCTAAAGCCCCGTTCACACAGGCCTAAAGACTGCTTGGTAACCACCTTTCGCTAGTGGTTTCTAACAGTCACTAGCAAGAAAGAGGTCAATTGTGATTACTTTGGTTGCTAACAGGTTACCAAACTTTGACTGCAACCCTTCAGTAAAAGTTGTGTCTTACCATCTTAATTGTGCCTTAAGCAACACAATTAGAGCAACACAACTTTACTTTGATGGCAAATGTGCTCATGTTTTCAGACAAGACTGTCTTCAGAGTCAGTGTTGGTTAACTAGTGACCGAACTCCTTGTGGAAAACAAAGAGTCTAAAATTAAGTCTTGGCAGACACACTTTTGTACTTCCTCTGGCTGCAACAATGAGTTTTACATTAAAAACCAAAGACTTTCGGGAAAGATCTTTCACTCTCTGTGTCTTAAGCAGTAAGCGGTTTGCTTGGCTAGTTGCACTAAAACAGGAAAATCCACATGTTACCCGTAATGTTAGAGTTTGTAAGGTACTTTATAAATGGGGACTGTGTGAAGGAAACAGAACCAGAAACCAGGACCAGAAACTGGTTCTGAAAATAAATTTACGTTTGATCTGGAACAACTAGCTGGCTAACCTTAGCTAGCTTTGTTTCCTGTTTGTGTTGGAATCATCAAAATCCCACCAACAAATTAAGATCTGTACAAAGTCAGACAGACAAAGGGTTTATCCTTCAGGTCTCAATAGTGCCTGCAGTAAAAGCACACACTGTAATCCAGCGTTAACACCAAGCCCTTCAAACACATTCATCACAAATAAAAATAACCTTCCTAGTAAACTAGCCCTGACTCTAACCTTTCACTTATCCCAACTCCCATTGACTGTTTTCTTAGGCAGTGCTGCTCTGACCCATCTATCCCTTGTCTTATTTACATGGGATGTCTGATCACATCATCACAGTGTACTCTGAGCTCCATGCCAGCCCGCAGCCTTTGTGCGTTGGCTTGGAAAAAAAAAATCCATGGTCATGACAGTGAAAGAGAGCAGCACAAGGCTAAAGGGTTGGAGTTTCTAGATTCTGCGGCCCTGGATTTGTTGATGGTCAATGATATTTGAGGGCATCTTCAGGCCTTGTGAGCTGTCTGTAGTCACAAACCTAACTCCCACAGCAAACAGGTCTGAGAAGTAGCCACTATGGACATCTGAGGCTAACTAATGAAAGGTACCTACTAGCTATCTTTCACAGTATTTTCATTATCTGACAAATATGGCTTAATTGTACTAACAGACCATCCAAGATGTCGATGCTCCAGTTAGGCTGAGTGTAAGCCTTGTAGTTTATTAGTCTGTTACTTGGCATTAACTAGCAGATATCCGTTTTTATCCCGTCTGTTTTTTCTCTAATTTTGGATGCTAACCAAGCTAGCTAGTGTTAGCTGATAACTCAGTACATCATCGTCTCGTCCACTTCTGGCTCAGAGCAAATCTCTCTCTCTCAAATATATATAC